AATATTTAGTGCACAAGGTCGAACATATTCAGTTATTAAAATTTCAGTGATGTTTAGGTTATTCAAATGTGCCTTTGGAATGACTCACAAAATAGTTTTTAGTTAATTCGATTATTATTTTTTATTACAGATGTTCCTCCTCCTTTGCCCCCTGACACCCTCCTCCCAACCCCAGCCCTACCCCTCTGCCTTCACCAACGCTGTTGTCTGTGTGCATCGGTGACACAATGGACACTAAGAAAGAGAGATCTCTTACCCTTCGAGACACATGGCGGGACCCGGAGAGTATCAGGCTGAGTGAAATAAGCCAGACAGAGAAAGACAAATATCACATGATCTCATTTATGGAATATCATGAACAAAATACACCGATGAACAGAATAGATTTAGGGAAGTAGGGAACAGACCGACAAACCTCCGAGGGAAGCAGGGTGGGGGCGGGGAGAGATAAACCAAAGGACGCGCAATATGTTAAAAAGAAAGAAAAGCTCTGTGTATTTAACAATTTATAGGACCATAAAGTCACACCATTGGTTTAACATTATATTATATTGCTCTTAGCTTCACTAAGCATAAAGCTTTGCAAGTTACATAAATGCTACGTTAGTAAAACAAAACAAAACAAAACCGTCCTCCTAAGCACATATACAAATCACAGCTAGAAGAGGAGGTTTGATAGCGACAACATGAAATCCCCACGCTTCTGTAAATCGATTCTTCAGTCTTACTGTGATGCATGCAGTGTTTTCATATCTACACCAAGCATATTTCATTGTGTGACATTTGTCTAAACGAAGGTGGACTTTAAAGGAGTGTTCCATTCAAGAGTCAAGTGACTCTTAAAGATTCATTTTAATCTTTTAATTTTGAGGTAGATTTCCAAATCTTAAAGATTTTGTAAAAAAAAAAAAACACACAAAAAACAGCCATATGTCTTTCCTTGTTTCTTTCTTCCTTTTTATAGCTCTGTGAAAAACTGCAAGGGAAGGTTTGGCCCAACAGTTAGACCATCAGCCCGTGGACCAGAGAGTCCCGGGTTCGGTTCCCGCTAAGGGCATGTACCTCAGTTGCAGTTTGTCCTCGGCCCTGCTTGGGGTCGTGTGGGTGGCAACCAGTTGATGTGTCTCTCTCACACCGATGTTTCTCTCTCTCTTCCTTTCTCTTTCCCTCCTGCTCTGAGGATGAATGCAAAAAAAAAAAAAAAAACTAAAGAAAAGCTACAAGTGAAAGTGAAAGTTAAACTGGGGGGGGGGGTTCCTTTGCAAAGCCCATGACCTTGCAACCATTACTCCTGAAAAGGTCTGTGTGCTCAGCTGACTAGTCTTCTTGCAGTGAAAATGCCATCCAGGTTGCTAATGACCTGTGTGAAACCGCAGAGGAGCTTTTGCTAACGGCCACAAGGGTAGCCTGCCTTGCGGAGGTGTGGGCGAAAGGGAAATACTAGTGTGTCAGCATTCACGGGAGTACGGATGCTGAGACGTGCACTATGCGGGCCAAGTGTGCTGTCCAGTAAACACACTCCTAAAGTCTGGTATGATACAAATAAATGATCAACATTTCGCCCGGCCAGTGTAGCTCAGTGGGTTGAGCATCATCCCATGGACTGAGAGGTCCCTGTTCGATTCCTGGTCAGGGCACGTGCCTGGGTTGTGGGCTCGATCCCCAGTAGGGGGCGTGCAGGAGGCAGCCAATGGATGTTTTCCTTTCACATGGATGTTTTTCTCTCTCTCCCTTTCTCTCTCTCTCTCAAAAAAAAAAAAAAAAATCAATTTAAAATAAATCATACTTTCTATTTGACATTCAAATATGTAACGCCAAACATCAAAAATAAATGGGTTGTGCCTTAAGAGAGAAACCTTTATTTCCAGCTGAACCTGTGGTTCTCAGGGTTTAGGACGGGATTGGATGAGCTCGTGGCATTGCCTGGTTGGCCCTTATTAGCGATTCAGCACCCACTAAGTCCTCTCCTTCTTCTGAGCCCGGTTCCTGATTTGGGGGGGGGGAGGGAGAGGCATCCCTACCAAAGCTAGAGTCTTCAGTCATGCACCAACATTACAGTATGAACTAGAACCCTTTACATAATAAAGTGATGTAGAAATATTAGAGGTTGGTCTTATTAAGTCCATGACTACACTTTCTTCTGTGTTCCTGAGCTTTCCGCCCCAAAAAACTGCCATCTAAAAGGAGACATTTCACATGCATTTATGCTTTTATATTCAAGACGATGATTAGCAATGCCTACGCCATTCTTTGGAAGTGTTACAACTTCAGTTAGGATAATATCTTAAATCTCAACATGCTTGAAATGAAAAGATGTGCAAAAAACACACTCCACGGATACTGAGAATCCTGCAGAAAACACCCCTGGCGTGCACTTTTCCACGAATAATCAGGTACCCTCTCTGCAAAGCCGAACTTGGATAAAACACAACCCTCCTTAACGTCTCAGATTCTCAAAGTCTTGGTGTGGTTTATTTATTTTTTTTAATTTGGTGGGAGAATCTCAAATGCAGTATATTCTAAATCTTTACTAATGATCTTTCCCTTCAAATATCTCTGTTCATTGATATTTTTTCAGTTGCTTAAAAAAATAGAAAACACAAATAAGGAAATAGGTCCACTCATGAAAAAGCCCAGAGCAAGCTCTGGATTTAAGTGCAGGAATGATGTCCAACATTGGTCCCTACTTGGTCTTTCTCGGACGTCATCCCTTGGTAACAGCCCACAGGCGTGTCCTGTTTCATCACGGTTCCTCCGTTCTGCCTCCATGACCCCGCTCCTGGGGAACACGTGTCACCAGGTTGTATATTTTACATAATGCTGGGATCTTCTGCTGTTGTTCTAGGAGCTTCACCTTAAGCAGGAGGGAGATTTGGGGCCTCAGTCTTAAAAAGTATAAGATGTATAACTTTCTTGCATAAAACTCTCCTGTGCTTTCCTTCCAGCCCATCCAGAGTGAAATCTGGAAGGTGGGTGTGGCCACCAGCCCCCCTCACTCTGTCTTCACCTCCCCAGCCTCTTCCCCCACTCGTCCCTTCTTCGTGTGCCCCCAAAACACCGGCTTCCTTCCTGTCCCCCGAGCATGCCAAGTGTGCTCAGGGCCTTTGCAGCGCTGGCTTTGTACATGTGATTTAATATACACAATATATAACAATATTATATTATTAATATACGGCATATAACACAATATATGGCATGTTAAACATATATCTGTCTCACTATGTACTTCATATTTTTCAGTTTGCTTTTTTTTGGTTTTTATTTATTTATTTTATCCTCACCAGAGGACACTTTTTTTTTTTTTGCATTTATCTTCAGATAGAGTGGGAGGGAGAGAGGGAGGAAGAGAGACAGAGAGAAACATCGATGCGAGAGAGACACATTGAGTGGTTGCCACCCACACGACCCCAACCAGGGCCAGGGACAAACTGCAACCGAGGTACGTGCTCTTAGCAGGAGCCGAACCCGGGTCTCTCTGGACCGCAGGCCAATGCTCTAACCACTGAGCCAAACCAGCCAGGGCTGCTTTTTGTTTTTAATTTTAATTAAAGGGATTTATTTGTAGAACATGGAGTATCACATATGCATCATCTAGGCATTAATACATGTTGTACAGTCAAATTACTAATTTTTTTGGGGGGGTTCTGTTTTTTAAAAATGTATATGGTTGAAAGTATTACAGATGTGTCCCTTCCCACTCCCCCCCATGGACCCCCTCCTCCCTGCTCCTGCCACCCCGCCCCAGACCTTCCTGTCACTCTTGTCCCTGTCCGTGGGTTATGCGTCTGTGCATATACATGATGTGGGTAATCTCTTCCGGTCCCCTCCCCTCTGCTTCCACGTCTCTGGGTCTGTTTTGCTCGTCCGTTTATTGTGTTCATCAGACCCCACACGTAAGCGAGATCACGTGACACTCATCTTCCTCTGACTGGCTCCTGTCGCTCAGTATAACCACATAAGCATGATGAAAACCGAAACTCGGTCTGTGTTGTTCACTGCTGCCCGTGACTTGAGCCGTGTCTGGTGCCACGCACACTCAGCTGTTTCCTGAGTGGGCGAGTAAGCACGCGAGTGGGCCCGGAATGCCTGGATGAGTGGCTGGGCTGCCCCAGCACCGGTGCTGAAGGGCGGTGTCCCCGACTTAGGTGCTCCTGAAGCAGGTGGGTGGAGAGTGCAGTCGGGGAGACCTAGGCAACCCCGGGGCTGCTCCCCACAGAGGCTGCGGGGAGGGAGGGAGAGCCACCTGCCTGTGGTCCCCTTCCCTCTTTCTCTGCCCAGTGCCGGTGCGCCACCCCCTCGGACGAGCCTCATAGCTTTCCTCCCGCTCCCATCTCTAAAAATGTTCTCAGTTCTTCTTTGAAATGATCACGTCTTGTCCTTGAACCTTCTCATACGATCCACACTGCTATTAACTCTCAGTCCCTGTCACTCGTCACCCTGCCTGTGGGGTAATCTCCGAGACCCAGGGTCTGACTCTGGGTTTCTCTTTCGTTCATTGTTTAAAAGCAAAAACAAAAAACAAACAATAATAAAAAGAACCCAACATAGTCCATCGTTTTTTTACCTAGCTGATGGGTAAAAGTTGTCAGGTTTCTAATGGTGGCATGGGAAAGGAAGGTGGTGAGGACGTTTTCAAAGCAAGAACTAGGGTTAGATTTTAGGAAAAACCATTTATTGTGCAATTGAAATTTTAAAACTCACGACTGAAATGCTTATTGTATACTACAGTGGGTACCACACAGTGTTTCATTTTTTTAAAACATCTGAATATATTTATATATGAAAGGACCCATGGAACTTTGACTCAGTTTCCAAGGTTATTATTATATTTTTAATGTTTTTTTTTTTTGGTGTGTGTGTGTGTGTGTGTCTGTGTCTGTGTGTGTGTGTAGAATATAAAGTCCTGCCACTGGATAAGAAAATTTGTTGAGTTTGACAGATAGAGAACATGGTTGTTTCTGAGGTGTTTCCCCCTAATGAGTATATCCCGTTTCCCCCAGGCATTTCCCGGGAACGTCAACTCGGACAGCGTGGTCCGGCATGACCTCCAGCACCCCGTGGTGACCCGGCACGTGCGCTTCGTGCCCCTGGACTGGAACGGGGAGGGCCGCATCGGGCTCCGGATCGAGGTGTACGGCTGCTCGTACTGTGAGTACCGCGGGAGGGCGGTGGGCTGGGGTCCGGGCAGGCCGGCGGCTTGTCCCCAGTTACTCAGCCTTGCCAGCGCCCTCTGACGGTTCGCTGACCTCGGTCAGTACGCGCACATGAAGAAAGGTTGGTTTTGTTCTCTCATAGGTGTGTAGTTCCCTTTGTTCACAAACACACACGTAAGACTAGCTTAGGGATTGGGAAGCGACTTTGTTCAATAGGCTAGAACAACAAAGTCTACAATTAAGTTGCCTGACGTGTTATGAAATATTTGAAAAGGAGAAACCTCTGCTAGATCCATCTTCTGGGCTTTTTGTGATGGGTTTCGGACCCGGTCTAAGAGCTTTCTTCCAGCTCCGCCCCGTCCCTCACATCACGGTGTGAAAACCAAACACGGAGCTTTGTTTCAGTTACCCTTCACGTCCACACGTTTTATCTCCTTCGCAAACTTACGTGGCCATCGTTTTGTTTTGTTTAATCGTGATTTAAACTCCCTTTTTGTATTTTTTAAAAGATACATTGTATACAGTTCTACTGATTCCAATAGGAGGATTGGGGGGTTAATTCCGTTACTACTGTTTCTCTTTGTTATTTTTTAAAGTAGTGCTTGTTATTTTTTAAAGTAGTGCTTGTTAGTTTCCTCCCCTTCTCCTCCTCTCCTTTCCGTCTTCGGAGCCTTCTTCTCTGTCTTTCCTCTGTTCCCTGTCCTCGACACGGATCCCTCTTCTTGCCTGGGACCGAAGGTTCTTCACAACTGGCCCTGTGGGAGTTCTTTCAGGCCGAGTGGGCGGGGGGCCCTGGAGGTGACCCCTCTTTGCCGATGTGCTCCTGCAAGCACAGACCTCCTCGGCCAACACGCAGCCGCTCTGAAGGTTGTTCGAGGCCGTCCGGGGCCGCCAGGTGGTGTACGTTCAGTCTGCAAACGCGTGGTTTGCAAACACTGGCTTTGGAATATGAGCTGTCTTTTAAAATAGGTTTCTCTCCTCCCAAGAAATGTTGTTCCCGTCTTCCAATTGGCTGGGGGAGGAGGGATCCTGGATATGGACAGGGTGGGAATTGTGGCATCAGCTTTATACACGGGGTCTCCCAGTAGACTCCCCCTTAGCCTGGAGACCCATAGAAACGAAAGCTCACTAAAATCAGTAAAATGGCAAATGCGCTATTGGGCAGCTTTTAAAATTAACCAAACATATTGTATACAATTTTCTAACAATGCAATAAAACCACTAAGTTTATACATCCATAAGGCCACGATTTACGGAAAGTAAACTTTCATAGTATTTAATTTCTATTTTCTCTCTAAAGTGCTTATCCAAATGTAGCAAAAACAATAAATGTTATATATTGGTGATATCTAAAAAGTCCCTAAATTTGCTTCTAAAAAATAAAAATAAACAAAATGAACCAAACACTTGGAAGTTCACAATAAAATATATATATATAGCTTTTACCTCTGTATGAATTTAGTCGCAGAGATTAGTGAAAATGGTAGCTGTCATGGTAATTAAATCATAGGTTAGTAATTCATGGCTACATTGTTACGGACTAACTGAACTAGTTGCTACAAAGGGTTCCGGAACATTTTTGATGTTACTTGGACATCACTGTATTATAGCATATGCAATGAGTAAAGAGACAGTGTTCATTCTTTAGGAAAATTAGATCTTCAGGAGGAAGTTTTAACTCTTCAGGAGAAGCCTAAACTGAGCCCTTGCATACATCTGGGTCCTTTCTGCCAAGTGGTCTGGGTCTTCCTGGACAGTCCCCCAAGTTCACACACATTCTAGCTGTCAGAATCATAATGAAAAGGCAAAAAAAAAAAAAGCGCAAAACCTGGTATTTTTATCAGCATGCCACTTTTGATAAGGAGCATGTTCAACTTCCAATGAAAATCCTGTAAGAGGCTTCATGGAAGCCATGATGTGTGGCATTTCTTCTGTTAGCAATTGTTTATTGAGTACTTGCTGTGTGTCATGAAATCTGCTGATTTCAACCCAGAGGAATAATACCACAGGGAATAAGAAACACTTGGTATGAAAAAGGCAATTAATGTAGTCGTGTTTGTTTATTTAATTTTATTTTTTAATTTTTTTCTTTATTGATTTTAGAAAGGAAGGAAGAGGGAGAGAAGTAGAAACATCGATGAGAGAGAACATCGATTGGCCGCCTCCTGCACGCCCCCCACTGGGGATCAGGCCCACAACCTGGGCATGTGTCCTGACCAGGAATCGAACCAGCGACTTCTTGGTGCAGGGTCAATGCTCAACCACTGAGCCACACCGGCTGGGCTGTAGTTGTGTTTATTAAGATGAAAATAGTGAAAGTTAGAATCGGCCCAAAGGCGCACAGCCTGAGTGATGAAGCCAGGGGTGCCGGCCAGTCTGGGACAATGCCCAAATTCAGCTCCGCTGTCTGATTCCCCGCCCCTTGACTCCAGAAAAGGGAACAACCTGTGACCAGCACCAGGTCAATAAAAATTCACGTTACACCCCAGAAGCACTCCTCGGGCCCCTCCATTAGATCTGTGAGAATCATCCGTGCTGTGAAGGTATTTATTTCCATTAGTGTGGTTATTCTATGGCACAACTATTCTACAATTATTTTTTTCATTTCATGTTTGTGAATATTTGAGTGTTTCTAGTTTTAATAATTTTTATAGAATTTCTATAAATTTTTCTCATTTGTATAGACTTAGAAAGGGGTAATATCAAGTTAGCAAATGTGTATATTCAGCATTTGTTAAATGACAAATATTTTCCTAAAGTGGTCGTATTGATGTAGATTCTCACAAGCAATGCACAAGGGTTCTAGTTGCCCCGCAGAGTCTGACATTTAGTATTGTTTTAGCCTTCCTGGTACATGTTCATCATTATATCTCATCTTAGTGTTAATAAACATTTTCCTAAATTATTTTTTTTTTTGTATGCGCCCCTAGTGGGAACTGAACCCGGGACTTTCTGGTCCACAGGCCAATGCTCTAACCGCTGAGCCAAACCAGCCAGAGCTATTTTCCTAATTTTTTAAGGAGGTTATGCTTACTGGTCCTATATGCACCCTCTTTTCTGAAGTGTTTGTTCAAGAATCGTGCCTGTATTTCTATTGGTTTGTCTTTTATTTATCAGTTTTTCTCATTGTTTTCAGTTGTTTTTACAGCTAACTCTGTTTATTTTTTCGTTCTTATTACGACATCTAGATATGATCCCTAACCAGATCCTTAACCAGGTCCTTTCCCTAGCCAGTGTCCAGAGCAGATTATTTTTTATTTGTCTATTTTTAAAGAATACCAATTAAATATATCTCTTTTCCAAGAAAAATATAGATGTTTATACTAAGAAGAAGAAAAAAGACATGTTAAGCATGCTTGTTATGGACAACTTTCTCAAAGGTACAATGATTCACATTTCTTTAGACTTGAATTCAGACTGGAGTGGGTCCTTAGACTACGAGGGTCCTCTGTGTTTTCTTGTCCTTGATGAACTGTGGGTTCGAGGGTTTTGTTTGATTTTTCAACGGGAGAAGGAACCATGAGCCTCGAGTGGAGAAATGCCTGTCAGATAGGGACATCTCCCCTGTTGCCATCTTAGGAGTAGCAATACTGTGCACCCTAAGGTCCCTGCAAGGAGAAAGTCACCTTTGATCACTCTTAGGGGAGAGAGAAATGAATTTTCTCCTCTTCCTCAAAATGCTTTCGAAGGTTCATCGGAGATCTGTCTGCAGCCTGCAAGTTGGGAATAGGGTTGTTCTTTGATTTTCGTTTTCCAGGAGGTGAGAGGGAGAAATCTCAGTGTGAGCAGCGCTGTGGTCGGAGTGGACTCTCCAGTAAGGCCCCTTGTGGGTGTCGTCTTTCTTCCGTGATCGGCTCTTGCATGATCACTTTGTTGTGTGTGCTGTGAGTTTCTTCTCAAGGCTGAAGGAAGTTCACTCTATTCCCGGTGGAACAGCTGAGCTCCCGGCCACTGCTTCGCAGCCGTTAGGGATTCTACGGGGTTTGCTTCCTGACTTCTCTCCATCGTATGAATTCCAGTTTCATGACTGTCAACTCCTTTTAGCTTATTCTACTCTCTACGTTTTGTGTTCCCTCAAGTCAAGTTGAAACAAGTGCGTGTTTTCATTTTTAAAACTGAGAGACAGTCCCATGTCTTCTGACTCCGGAAGCCGCCTCCCCAAACACAGGTGCGGATCTTCTTACTCTAGACCGAAGGGACCACAGGCAGCAGATGGGGGACAGCTCAGCCTCAGAACGTACAAAAATCATTGACGGCTGCAATGCTCAGATCTGTATTGAACAAAAGCCCGACACACTGTATTGATTAGAGGAGCAAGTCTTTCCGATGGAAAATGCTAAATTGGCTTTAACCAGAGTCTTCATAAGAGGAAGGTCAGCATGGAGGGAAACCAGGGTACACACTTCTGAAGTAATTTTTACATCTGCCTTCAAGTCGGGTGAATATTGAATAAAGTCTAGATATATGTCCTCCAGTGCAAATCACGGTGGAAAATACGTAGCAGACTAGTGGAGACACTGTATCAGGAGAAGTCAGAGGAAACACTGTATCAGACAGAAGGGGGGCAGTGTTTTGCCTTTTTCATGCTGGGCTAATCCGAATATTATCTCGTGGGAAGCAGACTGATTCCCATCACGCTCACTGTCTCAACAAGAGGTCCTACGTGGTCACGTGTAGTTTGCTAGGGCTGCCATAACAAATAACACACCCTGCGTGTCTTAAGACCACAGAGGTTTCTTCCCTCACAGTTCTAGAGGGCAGGAGTCGGAAATCAGAACATTCTCAGGCTGGTTCTTTGTGGAGGCTCCGAGGGAGAAACTGTTTCATCCCTGTCTGCAGCTGCTGGTGGTTGTGGGCAGTTCTCTGTGTTGGTTACCTTGTAACTGCATCATGCCGGACTCCGCCTCTGTCCTCACCAGGCCTCATCCCTGTGTCTGCGTCTCTGTGTCCTCACATGGTCTTCTTTTTTTTTGTTAATCCTCACCCAAGGATATT